GTCTATTTGAATGATAGGACCATGATACATCTTTTTCATTTTTCTTTTTTTTTCTTTTCTTTTTCATTTTTCATTTATATTTTTCTCATTTTTGGTATTTTTCTGTTAAAAAGAAGGCAAAAATTCAAAAGCTATTTGTTTTCATATAGAATGCATTAGTTTTAATCGGAATCATGACAAGGATGTTCTCTCTGTCTCTTAGGATTCAAGAATTTATATGAGATAGAGGGAAAATTTTTTTTTGCTGTGGTTATAAATAAAGGTTGAGAGAATGAGGGAGAGGAAATATTGTTTTTTTTTTGTTTTTTAAAGATTTTATTTATTTATTCATGAGAGACACACACAGAGAGAGAGAGGCAGAGACCCAGGCAGAGGGAGAAGCAGGCTCCATGCGGAGCCCAATGTGGGACTCGACACCGGGTCTCCAGGATTACGCCCTGTGCCGAAGGCAGGCGCCAAACCGCTGAGCCACCCAGGGATCCCCGAGAGGAAATATTGTTAAAGATAAATGTATAGATATGAGAGAGATTGCTTATTGCTAATAATTTTCACTTTAGAGAGTAGAAAAAAAAGATCACTCTGCCTGTGAATTACCTTGAAGGGCAGGAAAAGGACTTATAGGTGTAGATATTACTTGAAAATGTTCTTTACTCAAACTAGTAGATCCTGACTCAGTAAAACTTGGTTTCCACAGGTAAAGGAGGAAAGAGGAAGACAGTTTTATGTATGGACTGTTTATAAAATTCAGTTATCTAAGGAATTTCCTGTTTAGCTCTTGGCTGCATTGTTTATTTTGAGTTTAGCTCTTTTAAATAACTAACTTTTGCTTTTAAAACTGAACATGTTTATTTCCATTTTAAGCAAACTTCATCAATGGCATAAGACAGGGATGGCAAATGAGTTTCATATCATGTGCCAATTCCTGTGGTGATTAGTTAAGGGTTTTTAGACTTTGCAGAGAAGACTGCTATATAATTAACAATGTCTGTTTTAGCTCCTTGCAGAAATACTATGTATCTTCTAGTTTTGTAGTCCATTTAAAATTTTTTTTTAATTTTTTTAAAGATTTTTATTTATTCATGAGAGGCAGAGAGAGAGAGAGAGAGACAGAGACACAGGTAGAGGGGGAAGCATGCAGGGAGCCTGATGTGGGACTCGATCCTGAGTCTACAGGATCATGTCCTGGACTGAAGGCGGCGCTAAACCGCTGAGCCCCTGGGCTGCTCTGTAATCCATTTTGTATGATCCCTGGAACATCCTAAAGCTGTTGGTAGTGATTTAGTTAAAGTATAATAAAAAAAAGAAGGAAGGAGACCAACTATTGGATACTAAATTTACAATCTAAAATAAGGAACAACAGCAATTCTTGTGTAGATTTTAAGTTTTAATTCAGTGGCCTGTAGAGGAAATTAACTGACTATACTGCCTCTTCAGTAAAGTAGCTGCAATCTACATGTGGTATTGAGTACTTTTTAAGTGTAGCTACTTTGACTGAAAATGAGATTTTAAATTTCACTTAATTTTTAAAAATTTAAATAAAAAATGAAGCAGTATAATATATTTTCTTTCTTTCTTTTTAAAAAGATTTTATTTATTTATTTGAGGGAGTGAGCGAGTGAGAGAGTATAAGCACGAGGAGCAGCAGAGGGAGAGGGAGAAGTATACTCTATACTACTGAGCAGGGAGCCCCATATGGGGCTTGATCCCAGGACTCTGGGATCTTGGCCTGAGTCAAAGGCAGATGCATAACTAACTGAGCCACAAGGGTGCCCCAAAATATTTTGTATTAAATACAGTTTTATTGTTTTGGTAGTACTACATTTTACTTTATAATTGTGTTGGAGCATTCATGGGAGGTTTTTATGTCTGTGCCTGGGAGTGGCACCCTTTTTGCTATCATTTCATTGACAATATTTAGTTTTATGATGTGATTAGGGAAGCTGGAAAATAAAGTATAATTCTATGCTCTGGAGGAAGAGAGAAGAATAGATTTTAGTACAAAGCTGGAATCTTTCCTACTCTTGTGAAAGAAAAGTATGCAACTTGAAGCCACAAAAAGGGCAGATGAAACTCTAGAATTCATTGGATGACTAAAAATAACCAAGTATCACTCAAGATTAAATCTGCCTAGTTTAGTAAACATACTAAGAATAGAAAGTATTTCCTTAGCTTCATAAAGGGCATATACCTTCATAAAGGGCAGATGCTCAAAAAGCCAGTGCAGTAGAACAAAAAAAAAAAAAGAAGAAGAAGGTATACAGATTGGAAAGTAAGAAGTAAAATCATCTTTCATGATTGTCTGTGTACAATATGCTAAGAAATCTACAAAACAACTACAGCGAGTAAGTTTGCACGACTACAAAGTCAGTATTCAAAAATCAATTGTAGGGCAGCCCGGGTGGCTCAGCGGTTTAGTGCAGCTTTCAGCCCAGGGATGACCCTGGAGACCCGGGATTGAGCCCCACATCAGGCTCCCTGCGAGGCGCCTGCTTCTCCCTCTGCCTGGGTCTCTAACTCTCTTTGTCTCTGTGTCTCTCTTGAATAAATAAATAAAATCTTAAAAAAAATCAATTGTACTTCTATAAACTTGCAATGAATAATTGGTGATTGAAATGATAAAAAGTACCATTCATAATAGCATCAAAAATATGAAATATATAGTGATAAATTTAACAGAATGTTTGCATTTGGTACACAAAAACTTTAAATTCTCTCAGCAAAGTTCTTTTTAGAAGAGTTAAGTAATAGAGTGTTACTGTGTTTACAACTAGAAGATGCAATATTGTTAAATACCAGTTTTTTCCAAATTGATTTATAGATTCAGTATAATTCCAATCAAATCTTCAGTGGGCTCTTTTGTGGAAACTGACAAACTGATTTTAAAATTTACGTGAAAGTGCAAAAGACTTAGAAATATCTAAAGCAATCTTGAAAAAGAAAAGCAAATCTGGGGGACTTTAGTACCTATCATCAGGACCTACTGAAGCTATAGCAATATAGTATAGTACTAGATAAGGATCAGTAGATATAACAGTGGAACCTGAAAGAGAGCCCAGAAATAGACCCACATCTATGCAGTCAATTGATTTTTGAGTAAGTGTCAAGACAATTCATTGAAAAAAAGGGTGATCTTTTCAACAAATGATTCTGGAACAGTTGGATATCTATAAATAAGAAAAGAGTTTTTGACTATTACCCTAACTCACACCATATACAGAAAGTTTACATGAAATAGTTCAGAGATCTGCCTAAATGTAAGAGCAAAAAGTATAAAACTTTTGAAGGAAAACATGGGGAAAAATCTTAGTGACCTTGGGTTTGGCAAAGATTTTTAAAAATGAGATGTAAAAATCATGAAATATAAAAGAAAGGATTATAAATTGGACTTCATTGAAAGAAAAAGTTTCCCGGGATCCCTGGGTGGCGCAGCGATTTGGCGCCTGCCTTTGGCCCAGGGCGCGATCCTGGAGACCCGGGATCGAATCCCACGTCGGGCTCCCGGTGCATGGAGCCTGCTTCTCCCTCTGCCTATGTCTCTGCCTCTCTCTCTCTCTCTCTCTCTGTGACTATCATAAATAAATAAAAAAAAAATAAAAAAAAAAAAAAAAAAAAGAAAAAGTTTCCCTTCAAAAGACTGTTAAAGGGGCAGCCCTGGTGACCCCGCGGTTTAGCACCGCCTTTAGCTCGGGGCGTGATCCTGGGGACCTGGGATCGAGTCCCATGTCAGGCTCCCTGCCTGGAGCCTGCTTCTCCCTCTGCCCGTGTCTCTGGCTCTCTCTCTCTCTCTCTCTGTGTCTCTCATGAATAAATAAATAAAATCTTAAAAAAAACAACAACAAAAGACTGTTAAAATAATGAAAAGGTAAGCTACTGACTAGGAGAAATATTTGTAAAACATATCTAACAAAAGACTGAGTTATGTATAGGACTTTGGGAAGAACAGGTGGTAAAGGTTTGGTTTATAACATTCACAGTAGTTTTTGTGGAGATGAGAGATGTAGTTATAATGGATAACAGGGAGGTTGGGATTCTGATGTTGATTAATGTAAACAGAAATATAAGATGGAATGAATTTAGTCTATATCATTGTTGGTAGGTGTTGAGATTTTTTTGTTAACATTTGTAAAGTAAAGCCCATGGATGGTGAGCCACAGTTCAATAAAAGACGGGAAAAAGGGAAAGTAAAATATAGAAGTTTATTACTCACAGGTCCTGGAGGTACACAACATGATGTCTCCAGGGGACACAGGGGGAGTTCAGTGCAGGGTGTGGGCAGGCAATGAGCTGCAGGACTTGGGGTACATGGCTTTATTAGGGTCCTCAGGTCCAGTGCTCTGGGATTTCTGGGCTAATTCTGGATTGGTCAGTTCAAACCAAAAACTGTAGGGTTTTAATAAGCTTCAAGGTGGTCTTATAAGGGAGACAGAAGAGGAAGGAGCCGGAAGACAGGAGAGATTGTTTATCACGGGGATTTGGGGGAATCGTATCTGGAACTTATATTTACTTGTCACCCTGAGGGCTATTATCTAGGGCATGTACTTGTGGGAGGAGGTAGTGTCAATTCAAGGCCCCTCTAGGCACTTAGCCACATAAAGTGGAGGCAGCAGTATTACAGAGTAGTTTAGGTATATTCTCAACAGTGGGTTGGGAGTTTGGGGCTGACAGAAGATCCTAAAGATATAATGTGAGAAGTTGGTGGTTTGAGGGGCTTTAGGCCACTCAGAACCAATTGTACTGTGTACCTCTGATGACGGTCACTTGATGGCTGCCTTAGTGGAACTCAGTGGATTGGCCACTCGAGGCAGTGGATCCCACCTGGCAGATAGGGATTTCTGCTATGGGCCCCCCAGTGTCCTGAGACTATCATCAGAGTGGTCCTATAAGCTTTTTGATTCAATTGGATCTTTCCATTAAAAAATATAACTTTGCCTTTCTATAGAATGCATGTTTAATGAATATTAACCTAAGTAAGTACTGATTGTTTTTGTTCTTATTTTCAGGCTGCAGACAAGAGGAAAGCTTTAGAAGAGACCAAAGCCTACACAACTCAATCCCTAGCTAGTGTTGCTTATCAGATAAATGCATTGGCCAACAATGTACTCCAGTTGCTGGATATCCAAGCCTCTCAGCTTCGGAGAATGGAGTCTTCCATCAATCATATCTCACAGGTAACAGCTTATGAAAGGCTGTACATTCACATTTAATCAGCTGGAAGAATAGAAGCCGCATAATCAAAGAGGTAGATAGCCTGGAAATATGGATTCCTTACTCATCTTAATGACTGTAGTTATTTTAGGTTCAGGTTTGGATCCAGTTTACATACTCCTCCTCCTCCTCCTCCTCTTTTTTTGTTTGTAAAATATACATAACGTAAAATTTACCATTTTAACCATTTTTTAGTTATAATTCATTGGCATTAAGTATATTCGCATTATTGTAGAACCATTACTGGTTATCCTACCGTGAAAGACTTTTTTTTTTGAGGTAAAATAAATTGTATATAATTAAAGCATACAATTTTATAAATTTTGATACACATATTACCCAGGAGACTATCAACACATTCAAGATAATGAACACTCCCCACCCTCCCAATTTTTTCATACTTCTTTGTTATTCCATCTTTCTATCCCCTGTCCTCAGACATTTTTGTCACTGTGGAGTATACACACACACACACACACACACACACACACACACGTGGAGTATATATATATACATGTATACATGTATATACATACACACACACACACACACACACACACACACACATATATATGCTGGCATTACAAATATATTGGACAGTATTCCCTCCTCTTCACCTCTATGGAAAAGTGTCTTTAGAATTGATACTTGCTACCTTCTTAATGTTTGGTGGGATTTACCAGTAAAGCTATCCGGAAATAGTTTTTCTTGACAGGGAAGTTTTAACTATATATTTAATGTCTTCAGTAGATATACGACAGTTCTCTTCATCTATTTCTTCTTGAGTAAGCTTTGTATTTTTCCAGGAATTTGGCCATTTCACCTATGTTGTGTTTATTTGCATAAAAGTGTTAATAACATGCCCTTATCCTTTTAATATTTGTAGAATCTATAGTGATATCACATGTCATTCTTGATATTCTTAATTGTTGTCTTTTCTATTTTTTAAGCTGGTTAGTATGGCTAGTTTATCAATTTTATTGATATTCTAAAAAAGTCCTCAGCTTCTAGTTTCATTAATCTGAACTTTTTTTCTGTTTTCTATTGTGTTGATTTTTATTTTACTTGATTATTTCTTTTCCTTTTCCTTTCTTTGGAATTAATTTACTCTTATTTTATGCTTTATTTAAGTAAAAGCCGATGTCTTTGAGCACCTAAATTTCCCTAGAAATAGTGTGTTATCTGTATTTCATAAATTTAGATATGTTGTACCTTCATTTTCATTCAGCTCAAAATAATTTCTAACTTTGGTTTTGGTTTCTTCTCTGGCCCAGGGGCTATTCAGAAAAATTTCAAGGTTCTCAAAAGATCTCTCTGCTGTTGAGTTCTAATTTAATTCAGCAGTAGTATGAAAATACATAATTTGAATCCTTTCAAATTTATTAAGAATTGTTTCATAACCCAGATATAGTCTCTCTTGGTAAATGTTTTGTGTGCCCTTGAGGAGAATGTATATTTTACTGCATTTTGGTGGAATATTCTGTAAAAATCATCGATCAAGTTGGTTGATAATATTGTTCAATTCTTTTATATCCTTCCTGATTTTCTGATTACTTGTTTTATTAATTGTTGAGGAAGGTAAGTTGTAATCTTGGACTCTAATTTGTGTGTTTTTTTTAAATTTTAATCTTTTTGGAGCTATGTTATTAACATAATGTAAATGCTTAGGTTTGTAATGTACTATTGATGAATTTATTATTATGAAAAGACTTTTCTTTATCATTGGTAAACCTAGGTTTGACTAACTAGGCAGATGTAGTTTGGCTAGGCACTGGGGAGATGGAGTGAGTTCCTGCAGTAGAGGTATTAACTGGATCAGTGTTCTTATAGTTCTCCCACTTTTTGTTCGTAGGTGCACTTAGAATCCTAAATTATTGAGAATGCAAGGGTTTTGGTTTATATGGGTAGATCATCCAGTATTTATCATATCAGAAATTAAAACTGATAAATTTTAAAGTGCTAATTAACTCATTTAACAATAAATACACCCATTACATGTTGATACAAATAACATTTTAATGAAAAATAACTCTTACCAAAACAAAAAAATTTGTGAGAAGAGTGGTATTTTTACATTTCTGCACATCTTTTTAATGTTTTATTTAATAAAAGATAATTTTCATACTTGTTTTTGAGTTTAATGTCATTTTTTTGTTTGAAATATATGAAGAAAGTCTAGCTTTTACAAATATATAGTTTGAAAAGGCTGGATGTTGGGGACCCTGGGAATTCTTGGACGATAGTTGGAAAACCATTGCATTATGGGGTTATTACTGTTTAGTCTATGATATGTATTTTTGGTATCATATACTGGCCATCATGCTTCCACTTAAAAAAAATCTTCCAAATTTGTAATTTAACTCCACCTATAGTTTTTTTCTGGTTCTTTGTTGTACAATTCTTGGTCCATCCTTACTGACTTTTATGGGGTTTTTTTTGTTGTTGTTGTTGAACTTATCCATAATATGATAGGACTTCTGCTGATCCCTAATGGCCTGTTGGTATTTATTTTAGGTTTCCTCAACCAGTTTCTTAAAGGTATTTCATGAGTTTTTTTTTTTAAAGATCTTAAAAAAAAATGGGAAAGCATGCAAATAAAAATAAAAAATAAGTAAATGAGTAAGTGTGATACGTTGAGTTGGCACTCAATGGCCGGGAGCTTCAGTAACAATCATTTGATTGGCTCATTTACCATGATAAAATTATATTAATTGTCCTATTCAGTATTCCTATGTATGTATGTATGTATGTATGTATTTATAAGATTTTATTTATTTATTCATGATAGAAAGAGAGAGGCGCAGAGACACAGAGGGAGAAGCAGGCTCCACATCGGGAGCCCGACGCAGGAGAGAGAGAGAGAGAGAGAGGCTCAGAGACAACAGACAGAGGGAGAAGCAGGCTCCACGACGGGAGCCCGATGCGGGACTTGATCCCGGGACTCCAGGATCACACCCCGGGCCAAAGGCAGGAGCCAAACCACTGAGCCACCCAGAGATCCCCTCTAATGGATTTGTATATATACATCTAATATTTCTAAGATTAACTATGGTAGTAGGCTGAGTAATGGTCCCTAAAGATATCCAGGTCTAAATCCCTGGAAATGTATTACTTTATATGACAGAGAGGACTTTAAGGATGTAAGTTAAAGATCTTGAGCTGGGGAGATTATCCTGGATTATCCAGGTATGCTATAAATGTAATCGCAAATGTCCTTATACGAGGGTGGGAGGGGATACCTGCATGACTCAGTTTGTTGGGCTTCTGATTCTTGATTTCAGGCTGGGTCACAATTTCAGGACGTCTTCATGATTTGGATTAAAATTGCATTTCTTGGGCAGCCCGGGTGGCTCAGCGGTTTAGTGCTGCCTTCAGCCCAGGGCCTGACCCTCGAGACCACAGAAGGAGTCCCACGTTAGGCTCCCTGCATGGAGTCTGCTTCTCCCTCTGCCTGTGTCTCTGTCTCTCTCTCTATCTCTGTGTGTGTGTCTCATGAATAAATAAAATTAAAAAAAATAAAATTGCATTTCTTAAAGAGTATTATAAAATTGTGTGAATATCTTAAAACCATGAAGAAAACATGAAAAATTCCTTTAGTTTCTTGCCAAAGTTCTATTATGAAATAGTATTTTTTATCTTTACCTTTGTTATTTTAAGACTGACATACAACTTAATCAATTGCTAACTTTCCTCAATTTTTCTTGTACATATTAAGATTCAACAATCATGTTTTAGGGAGAATTCTTCACCTCCTTTTTGGAGGGAGGACATTTTTTATTAGTTGAGATTAATAAGGCATTCTTGCTTTATTTATTTTTTAAAAAAGATTTATTTATTTATTTATTTATTTATTTATTTATTTATTTATTTATTTATTTATGATAGAGAAAGAGAGAGAGAGAGAGAGGCAGAGACACAAGAGGAGGGAGAAGCAGGCTCCATGCCAGAGCTGGATGTGGGACTCGATCCCGGGACTCTAGAACTGCGCTCCAGGCCAAAGGCAGGTGCTAAACTGCTGAGCCACCCAGGGATCCCCGGCATTCTTGCTTTAATAATAGTTATTAACAATATAGATTTATAGAGGAACAAGCTATAGTAAAGCTGTAGTAATACAGATTTTTCTCTTAACATAAGTACATGGTGCAGAACATATAAATGTTTATTTGTAGCAGTTGAAGGACTACACCTTGCCTTGGCACTAGACTTTATCTTACTGTTACCTAAAATAAAATTCTTTTAATTGCTGTATGGATAAACCTTTGTTTCAAAATTAGTTATTCTGCCAAGGACTCTTATAGCACTTAGCACGGTGCCTGATACTTAATACATGTTTCCATGTGAGTTGAAGGAGTTTTTGAATTTTATTACATTTAGACATTATCTGAAAAATTTGAGGTTAAAGAAAAATACTCTGTAACAAATATTTCTGGTATAGCTTTCGTCCTTTACAAATTCAGGTTGGTTTTTTTCTTCTAAGAAAATGTATTAACTTGTCTCTCAGACTGTTAATTTTTGGTGTGACACTAGCGCTTCATGCCATCAGATAGAACTTCCCTGAATTTGAATGTTTATTTGAATAAATAATTTAGTGCAAGGATCAGTAAATGATTATCTACATGGGCTAAATTCAGTCCTCTTCTTATTTTTGTAAAATAGTTTTATTAGAACACAGTAGCATTTCTTTTTGTTTACATATTGCTATGGCTGTTTTCACTTCTGCAATAACATAGTTGAGTAGTTATGAGAGACACCATATGGCCTGTGAAGCCTAAAATATTTACACTGTTCAGAAAAACTCTGCTGACCCTTCATGTTGTGTTATACAAACTTCTGTTTCAAAAATTTTTTTTTAAAGTTTCATGTGATTTGATATCACTTTCTCCAGCTACTTTTTAATAACTTTTTTTTTTTAACTAGTTTTTCTGGAGGTTGATTTGCTGAACCAGAAATTGTAAGGAATGGG